CCTTGCTCGCCCTGCCTCCTTCCCTCCAGCCCTCCCTCTCTCCCTTCCTTCCCTCCTCCCTGCATTCAGTGAATATTAATAGAGATCTTACAATGTGCCAGGCTTAGCTTTGGGAACTGGGAAGGTACTGGTGACCAACCTCTGCTCTCATGAGGATGGTTCTGGAAGCAATGGAGATGGAAAATAAACAGAATTAAAAAAAAAAAACAGCATATAACAGATGGTAGTGAGTATTATGAAGAAAAATAAAGCCAAGAAAGGGGATACATATTCTGTAGGAAATAGGGAATGAGAGGTTAGGGAGGTGATTTAAAATACAGTGGGGTGACAATGTGATTTCATAAAAGGACCCAAAGAAGGTGAGGGGTGAACAAATTAGATGTCTGGGAGTAAGTCAGAAGGCAGAGGAGCAGCTTGGGCAGAGACTCAGCTGGGAGATCGTGCTGGTGTATTACAGGCCAGTGGGGCTAGTGTAGAGTGGACCAGGGAGAGGGATAGGATGTATGGACAGGGGGGCCCTGCTTGGGTAAGGCTGGGGGTCAGTATTACTTCATGTGAGGGTTTGAAGACATTTGTGAAGACTTTGGCTTTTAACTGGAGTGAGATGGGAAGTCATTGGAGGATTCTGACGTAGCTCAGTCTGGCTGCCATCTAGGGACTATGGCAAGATCAGGGTGTTTATAGGGAATTCAGTCAGATGTCCCTCCAGGGATAATCCAGGGAAGATATGACTGGCTCACAGCATGAAGTGTGACATTAGCAGTGTTGGTGGTGACAAGGAGTCAGGTTTCTGTGTTAGAGTCCCCGGATTTGCTGATGAATTGAATGTGCTTCAAGGATAATTCTAAGGATAATTTCTTATGGCCTAAGCAAAAGGAAGCCCGGGGTTATCATTAACTGAGAAAGAAAGAAACTGGACTGGGGAGAATCTGTTGTTTTGGGATTAGGTTCAAATCTCATGTGATTCTATTCAAGAATAATTAAATTCTGGAGGAAAAAGGAAAGTGTAAAAATTAGCTTTTAGAAGGTTGTATAATAAGAGTGACATTGAGCTGTGTGCAGGGCTACATTTTACATCCATTAAGTGTGGTGTAGAAAACACTTTAAAGCCAAGTCTGATAAACCTTAGGCTTTTTTTTTTTTAACTTCTGATCAAAGATGAACAAAGATATGAGGAACGTGAACAAAGAGCAACACAGGCGAAATTCAGTCACAAGCATCATATATTTTCATTATGAATTAGGGTAATCAAACTTGTAGTTTTGCAAAATTATTATTTTTCATAATGGCTACTTTTGTACTCATTATTGTGACTGAGTATTACATACAATGAGTATTTGGTTCTAAGAAGCTCAAAAGAACTGCTGATGAAAAGAATGTGTACATGCTTGTTGAGCTGCTTAATAAATAACTATTTGATGATTATTCTGCAGTATGTTTAAAGGATAATTCTTCTTCTGTTGCTTTAGAGAGCTCATTTGGCATTCTAAAAATGGATGCAATTTCAAGGGGTGGCCAAAATGTATCAATTAGCCTGACATCTAGGTCTTTTTAACAGATCTATAAATTTCCAATTTCCTTTGCTATCTTAACCATGGTAAATCATCCTGAACAAGATCATTCTTTTGAACAACAGCCTCCTTATTAGCTGAGATCAATTGAGATTAGAAAATGAAAAATACACTAGATGCTGAGAACTCTTTATGAACTCACATTTGTAGGATGAGTATTGAATGAAGATTAATGTGTTATTTTCAGCTTCTAAATCATTGATTTAAAAATTTATTTTCTACATCCCGCTGCTGGATTAAACACTAATACATATCTGGATGGTTTACTTGCTTTCAAGTATTATCTTTTCCCCATTGAATTTATGTATTAATGGAAGGGAATGATTTTTAATTTAAACGTGTCTTGCTTTGCATACCACATGTTTCTGAAAGTGCTACACATTAAATTGGGTAAATTACTTTTTCCACTGAATTTACAGATTAATAACCATATTCTTTATTTTACCTTGTGATTGACTTTCAGTTGCTCTTCTGATAAAATATGGGTCCTTAGCACATGGTGTGGATCCTCTGTGATCAGGATGCTACCTTTGAAGGCAATCTTTCCACATTCTGCTCTTCTGTCTCCAAACCCCACTTATACTGGCCTTCCTTCAAATGTTAATACTACAGACTTGAGATATTTGTATATATTATTTATAATTTCAATTCTCAACTAGTCCCCATTTTCCCCCAAAGAGCCCATTTGGTACATTATTTTCTTATTTAATTAATTGTCTGTCTCCCCTTATCTAGAACACAGGCAACAAAAATCCATGGATTTTTGTCTAATTGCTACTGAATCTCCCCATTTAGAACTGTGTTGGCTATAGAAAATGCACTAAGGAAAAAATGATAAATGAAAGAAGGAAGGAGGAAAGAAAGGAATGAGTGATTTCTTATACTAGAACACTGATTTCCCTTCTGAAAACTTATGGAACTTGTATTTATTACTCAAATTCTAGCTTAAGTGTCACTTTTTCAGACTATTTTTCTTTGATCCCAAGACAAGACCAGTTTCCTCTATTATTTACTCTTATAGTTGCTGTCCTCTATAGAACTTTTTATAAAATTAATTTATAAAGCTCATTATTTGTGAGATAATTTGTTCAACTTTTGACTTCTACCCTAAGGCATAAACTTTCTTGGACAAAAAAAATGGTTCTTATTCTTAATAATATGACACAATACCACTAGCACAATTCCTTGGACGTAGAGATATTCAATAAATATCTGAAGAATGAGAACATAGGTGAGTGGATAATTATGTAGCTCCCCTTATAACTTTCAGTCCCTCTGTTCCACTTGTTCAATATTCTTCTAACAAAAAAGTAGAATGGTGAACTACAAAAAATTTGGTAAACTGGACAGTTCCTATGTAAATGTAGCCCTCTGTGAATTCATTAATACATGTAGGAGTCTTTAAGTTGGATGCTTTTTCATAACCTCTTCACATCATATCATTTAATCAAACAACTACGTAATGAATTTCTTTTATGTATCAACTCAGGGAAAGAAGGCCATATAAATCGTGACAACACCATAAGTTTTAAAACAGAAAGCTCTCTTCACTCTTATGTGTGACCAATTGAGCCTTATGTACTTCCTTTGTCAAACATAAAAGGGAATATTTATCTTGTGGGGTTATATAGGGGTTATTGATAATGCATGTAGCATTCTTGCCACACAATGGCAGTCAAAAGATGGCAGCTACTACTATGATACCTAGACAATAAGCTCCCAGAGAGTGAACTATACCTGCATTCTCAGTCTCTCATATGTAGAATATACTCAAGCAACTCAGGAGGCTGAGGCAGAAGGATATCATGTTCAAGGCCAGCCTCATCAGCTTAAGGAGACCCTGTCTCAAAATTTAAAAACTAAAATTAAAAAAAAATATGCTGGGAATGAAGCTTGTCAGTGATACAGTACCTCTGGGCTCAGTCCTCAGTACCAAAAGAAAGAAAGAAAATAGAAGAAGAGGAAGAGGAGGAGAGAGAAAGGAAGGAATAAAGGAAGAAGAAAATCTTTTTTTTTTAAAGAATATACTCATAAAGTTTGGGCCAACTGGTCATTAATGGGAAACATAATAGGATATGTATACTACTCAATTTTTAAGGGGCTTGAAATCAAATTAAGAAAGCAAGTTTAAAACATGTTTATGAATTTTTTGTAGCTGGCTGCAGTTACCGGGAAATGGTAAGCTCGTGTGTGTGTGTGTGTGTGTGTGTGTGTGTGTGTGTTGTATGTGTGTGTGATGTATATTGGTAGTTTCCTATTAAAACGTTTGTTTTAGCAAAATTTGATGCTAGCTATTCCAATGTTGGATAAAATGCAATAATTTCTTCTTCTGTGTTAATATGATGGCAGACAAAATTAGGTCCTTGATCTTGGGTATCAAGGTGAATTTGTTAGAATAATGGATGCTGTTTTCCCTTTTAGCAGTGGTTTACTAACAGTTACAAATAGGTTCTGATGATGTTGGGTGATGTTGCTCAAATAGGGCTGCATTATGCAGTGGACCTTGCTAATCTTTGAAAACTGGAACATAGACAAAATTTCACATGCCACTTCTTTGTAGCATACTCAACACAGATTTTTGATTGCATTGATTCATCCATAATCATTACATATATTTTTTTCATTTTACCAAAGTCTTTGCTTGCAGCTCTAATAGATGAGACAAAGATAATGAGCATGACCTAAATAATGTATCTTTTCTCTAGGACGTTTTCTACTTTTTGTTACTTAAGTGTTTATGTAAAGGCATCTGACAAAATTCAAACAGAAGGGAAGCTCCATTTAAGGTTATTGATACACTGCCAATCACACAGAAAGCTTCAGATTTTTAATTATAGACGTCAATGCAACCACTAAACACACTGAGAAGTCCTGACTTTGGAAAACAAATAGCCACCATCTCTCACTTGAAAATATGTAAAAATAATTTAGATACACTCATGCCAACTGGCTGGCGCTTAGCCACATACCAACCTGCCTGGACTACACAAATGCTGACCAGCCAATCAGAGCAGCTGCTCTTAACTTGCCCACACACCTTCATGATAGGGGCAGGCAAATGTCCCGGAAGCCACACACCTGTACCTACAGGACACACACTTGGAGGAAAATATCCGAGTATTCTTATTCACAAGAACAGAGACCTGAGCGCGCGCGCACACACACACACACACACACACACCATCTTATATTCCACGTAGGCAAAGCGCACTTGTTACAAACGCGTTCAGGTACCGCACAAGCCCCCTGGAGCCATTCGCATTCCTGGGTGCGTCCCCAGCGTGGATCAGGCAGCAACTTTGGCGCAGTCTTTCTGCCCCTTTCAACTTTTCTCTGCTCTCCCACAACTCCCAGAGGGCGGGTGGCGCCGGCTGGCCGCCTCGGAATGGTTTGCCCTCCCCTCCCGGTAGCGCTGAGGGGCGGGGCCGAGCTGGCAGCCAGGAAATGCCCAGGAGTGTGTGTCACCTGCGCCCGCAACTTGTTGATTCCCTGGAGCGTCGCCTGCTGGGTCTAGACTTTCTCGCCCCCTTGTCCCCTGGGCGCAGCCCTGGGGAGATACGGAGACGCCCCGGCACAGCACTACCCTCCAACTCCACAGCCATGAGCAAGTTGGGCAAGTTCTTTAAAGGGGGAGGCTCCTCTAGGACCCGGGCTGCTCCCAGCCCCCAGGAAGCCCTGGCCCGACTTCGGGAGACTGAGGAGATGCTGGGCAAGAAACAAGAGTACCTGGAGAACCGAATCCAGAGAGAACTGTCCCTGGCCAAGAAGCACGGCACGCAGAATAAGCGAGGTAGGCTGGGGTCGCGCCCCCAGGCTGCAGCTCTCCCACCTACCTCTGGCCCTTCCTTCCCTTGGGGACCATGGGGAGCACAACACCCTGGTCCCCCAGGCGGCAGGGTTTGCTTTACAGCCTTTCTAGGAACTGATGCTGGACCCCAGGGCCCGGTGATGAGGGTAAGCTGAGCAAGGTACTTACCTGTATGGCAAAATGTAAGAGAGCTTCCAAAATCTCGAAATGAGCAATGCTTTTATGCCATATTTAAAAGACTCAAATTAAAAAAAAAAAAAAAAAAAAAGAATCCATGAAGAACCCCAAATCAAGTGTTCAAATCAAGTCATGATAGATATTACTGATTCTTTTTCTCTGGTATCTGGTATGACACTTCTTTATTTAAAATTCTTTTTTTCATGGGATATTTTGTTTATTATGAATTTTTGTATTAATTTTGAGTTTTAGTACATATTGCAGTAAATGTTATTTATCTTGAATACTGAATTTTCTGACACTCCCTTCAATTTTGCTTCTGGCTTTCCTTTCCCTAGTCCAGCCCTCCCACTCCAGTACTGCACAATTAAGTTTTCTGCTGTATGTTTGTATACCAACACAAATCACACATAAATCACGAGTGAAGCATATTCTAGTTTGTTCTGGCTTACTTTGCTCCTCAGACTTTAAAAACTTTGGCTGGCTGTTGTGTAGTTGAGATCTTAAAAAAAAAGTTGAAGAATTAAATATTAAATTTCCTATCACTGGCTTTTACCACACACAAGGGACTTTGAGTCAGTAATGATTCTTGGTTCTCCTGTTGCACCTTGAACTCTTTGTTCTTTGCCAGAGTTAATTGGTTTCTACAGTACATGGCTTTCTCTCTAGGACTAGATCCAAATGGTACCCATGACACATATAAAAACCCAATGAGAAGATGAAGTGGTTTGCTCTTATAATATTAGGCAGACACAGAAATAGAAGTGATAGAACCGGACTTTGCTTACCTCCAAACCCTAAACATCTGCATCTTCAAGTTGGGCTTCTTTAATCATGAAGAAGCCCTGGGAAGATTGAGCTCACCCTAATGATGCTGCCATTGTTTAAGGCAGGAAAGGAATGGTGTCTCATGGAGTTGAACGTGACAGCCTGCTTCTTCTTGTAAATGCAGGCATGATACTTTTATGGCCAGTTATTACTGGCAATGAAAAGGTCAAGTTTCATTTTTCTCTTCTATTGCATATATCTTTTAGTCATATTAAAGCTTGTTTTAGAGCTAAATAGTGGTTTCTATTTTGACTTTATGTCAGAAAATATTTTAGGAAGTTATTAAATGGCAGTTTCTAAACCGAGACCATATCATTATGGGTTGCTAAAATGTGTCACTGGTCAAAAATGTCACTGGTCAATCTGTTACTCCTCCCTTCTTCCTCAGTTTGATATGTACTCTGACATTTGCTTAGTGTCTGTCAAGGCATCTTTCGACTTTGTCATCTATTTGGATTTGTGTGTAGTTTTGTCTGCTGTGGTTGCTTAGTAAATATTGGCTTAAAATGATCATAAAAACTGAATATCTTCTTCAAGGAACTGGTAAACATGTAGGTTTGCTTTCAGAGAATCACATGTAAAATAATATGTCTTTTATTACTTCTTTTTTTCCCCCCAGAAATGTCCTCCAATTGGCAATGCACTAAAGTGTGTCAAAAGCTAACTTTGAAAAACACAAAGAAAATTAAAGACATTGCTAAGAGCACCAGTCTAACTTCCTTGAATCAGGGAAATTACAGATGCAAGTGTAAAGAATAAGTCACCAATTGGTGTTAAGAAATTCATCCATTCTTTGCCATTTGTACTTGGAAACTTCACAGGTGTTAGCCCAGGCCTGGTTCTGCAGTAGCCCTTGCAAGTAAGCAGCAGAGGCTGATTAGCATCAGGCCATCTATTGTATAAACTATGGAAAAAATTCAATCACAGCTCTGTGCATTAGAAACGCTGTAATATCAATATCTTCAAAATGTACAAGATAAAACCAAGTGCTGAATGTTTCCTTTGATATAAGGAGGCTTATTAATAGTGGGATTGGGAGAGGGAGCATGGGAGGAGTAGATGAACTCTAGATGGGGCAGAAAGGTTGGAGGGGAAGGAAGGGGACTGGGGTTATAAATGATGGTGGAATGTGATGATCATTATTATCCAAAGTACATGTATGAAGACATGAATTGGTGTGAATACACTTAGTATACAATCAGAAATGAAAAATTGTGTTCTATATGTGTGGTAAGAATGTAATGTATTCCACTGTCATATATAAAAAAGAAAAAATGTGCAAGATAACTTCATATACATCTAATTACCTCTGTTAGCCACTATTTTCACAGTCATAGTAACTTAAAACTCTGTATACTCAGTACTAAATGGTCCCCATGCTGCTTTATGCCATTGCTAGAATGGCTGTAGTTTACATTGTAACCAGAGTGAGATAGTGAATGTGCAGTTAAAGCTTTGCTTCTATACTTGGTTGGTCAATTAACACACTGCCAAGTTTACAGCTAGCATTGCATTAAAAACTAAAAGTTCTTCAATGAACTGTGGTACAACAGAAGCCTTGACAACAATCTAAATGCCCACAAGGAGTTTTACTGGAAAAACAAGTAACTTCTAAGTTAGCAAGTGTTAGAAGTGGGATCTCATTGGTGAAATTGTAGATTGGCTAAGGTAGATTTAGAGACACTTCCTTGTCCCCCATGTACGAACTCGTGAGGAGAATCTACTAGGTACATAACTACTTAAAACCAGGTGATATCTGAGGTTTGATCTCAAATCAGTGTGGCATCCTGTCATTGGTTCTGGTGGATTTCTGATTTGAGTGCATCTCCAGTAGGGCACAGCACCTTCTAGGAAATGTCACTGTCAGCCTCAGTGAGCCTTGGAGCGTCTGAAGGACATAGAGTTGGGAATTCATTGAGCTTGTGAAACAGATTGACAAACTGTTTATGCTTGCTTACCAGTGCATGCTTATTTAATAAAGTATTTGCAGAATTTAGTCAGAATCTTGTTTGCATGATAACTTGTAGCAAGGCAGTGCAGAAATATCTAATTCTCCTCATCTTAAACTTCTTTCGGGGTTACCATAAATATCTATCAAAAAGAATCTAAGTATGTATAACCAAATTGACTTTGGGACAACCATAATATCATCATATTCAAGGTTCTATTGGAGGATGGGGATATAGCTCAGTTGGTAAAGTGCTTGTCTCGCATGCACAAAGTCCTGGGTTCAATCCCCAGCACCCTCCCCTCCCCTGACACACAAAAAGGTTCTATTGGTCCAAAGGGGTATTACTTAGAGTTGGGTACTGTGGTGCATGTCTCTAATCCAGCAACTTGGAAGCTGAGGCAAGAGAACTGTGTAAGTTCAAAGGTTAGCCTTAGCATCTTAGCAAGACCCTATCTCAAAATAAAAAAAAAAGGGCTGAGAATATAGCGTAGTGGTAAACTGTCCTTGAGTTCAATTCTCAGTACCAAAACAAATGAAGAATAACAATTGGAGCAAGATTCATAATTTAATTTTTTAGTTCTTCAGATTACTATCACATAACACCTGCTTTACAGCTAGTGCTCTTTTTTATACAAAAGCCAACTTACACATGGCTTAATATTTTTTCCCCTTTCTGAACTCTGTCACCTACAGCAGTTTTTAGTCTTGGCTATATAATAAAGTCACTTGGATGCCTGGAGTCCGCTCCTGTAGATTCTGATATAACTCTCAGGAATGGGTTTAGGCATCAGACTTTAAAGAAGTGCTTCCAGCTGATTCTGCCCTGTTGCCAGGTTTCAGTATCAGAACTCCAAATCCATAGTAATGTTAATGAGATAGAAAAAACAGGTCTTTTACTCTCCCAGTGCTTCCTGGTCCCTTTCACATCATGCCCCCATGGCAATGTTTATTTATATGCTTCACTGGGATATGGCAAGTCACCTGGAATTTCCATGCCCCAGGCTGGTGGGCCTCCAGAGTGTCAATTATCTTAGCTCACTGCAAACCTCTGCTGCCACATTGGTTTGGCAACATACCTTAGAGGTTACTCTTCTAATTCCTTTTTGAGGTCTTTTTTATAATATCCCTGACAGATGGCCGTAGGGATTTTGCTCAAGTGCAATTTCATGTTTTAATTTTTATAATTTAATATAAAGGAACTTGGTGTCAGAGTTAAGAACCTGGCTTTCAGAACAGCCAGGCCTGGGCTTGATTTCTAGCCCTGACTGTCACTTAGCAACTCTGTGACCCTAAATCTGACGCTTGGAACCTCTCTCATTCTCCATTTCTTCATCTGCATAATGCATCGATAACAGATACTTAGAGTTGTGAGGATGAATGACATTTCTGTGTAAAGCACTTGGTATACTGCTCTATAAATATCTGTCTTGGTATATCATAGTAGCATTTTTTTTTTTTTGCAGCTGAAGTCAGCCCATTTACTGGCCCAGATTTTTGTCTCCTTGAATAATGTTGAATCAATGTACTGTATCTCCTTTGTGGGACAACAATCTTTTCTCTGAGAGCCCTTTCCCTCATTCTCCTTAGAATTTTTATTCCCTTAGCAAACCTCCTTTACTGTGCTGAGGTTTGTCCCTCAGGGCCCAGTTTACAGAGCAGCAGGTGAGACACTCAGGACACACCTGTGTGACCTGGGTGAGTGCTGCCTAGCATTTTGTGCCTTACCTGCTCCTTCTCTTCTCACCCTAGTCATGGCCCTGATGCTTGTCTTGTTGAGGGCTGAGCAACAACCCCAGATATGTAATTAGATGAAAGAAGTGAATTCAATTTGTGGCTCTCTGTAGGCTTCAGCTTGCTGATCTCATAGGTTAATAGAAAGAAAAAGCTGAGACAGTCAGGAAGTAAATTTGTCCCAAAGCTCTCCTTGGTAATATTACATATGATTCAAGGGAATATCTGGTGCTGAGGCTGCTCCCCCAGTTCGTCAGGTTGTATGGTGAAGTGAGTCGCCCAGGTAGAGTGTCCT